CCGAAAGTGATACGCAATTGAAATATAAAATGTAAAGCTAATTGACACGGAAGTCAAATAATCGTTAAACGCGCTGGCAGAGGAAGACTCAAAGAGACAGCCGGGACAGGCCCTGGCAGCGTTAAGAGCGCCACTGGTTTAATCGAATGTGCTCTTGGAAGACGTCTCAACGCCATCGAGCTGTGTTTCGTATTCAGGGGGCTTTGTTTCGGCGGGAGGGGGTTGGAGGTTGTCCCTTTGCAGTAGGAGATTGATTTTTTTTCTCTTTTCCTTTCCCCCTCTTTCCTGATTGGCATGGTAATTTATCTTTGTTGCAACTTTCCCGCGCCGCATTCACGAGTTTCCTTCGTCACTGGTGTTGGCCACGCGCGCGAAATCGCCAAGCCCCCGTGGCCCGTAGCCGCCGATGCCCTCTCGCCGCAAGCTCATCGCCAACGCCTCTCCCCGCCGCTTTGCCAGACCCCGCAGCCGCTGCACAGTCACACAGACATGCGAGGGACCTCCAAGATCAGCCCCGAACACTCTGCGCTAAACATATCGTTGTTTCTAGATTTGAAGCTTTCGTGACTGCAAGGATTTATATTCTTAGGGTTTTTCGGTAAAGTCACGTAGGTAAAAAATAAAAATTAATAAAAGTAAAATAAAAATAAAAATCACGACGTTTTGGAGGCAACACAAGCTTCCGTCTTCAGGTGGAATTGTCACAGCACGATAGCTGTATGAAGTGAGGACTCACTTATTTTTATTTTACTTTTATTAATTGTAATTTTTTTACCTACGTGACTTTACCGAAAAAACCTAAGAATACATATCGTTGTTGGTGTTGTTGGTTTTTAACGAAACATTTTTTTGTTAAATTCTCGTTTGCCCCTTTTTCCCCCCATAACGCCTGGTTATTTCGTGAGATTTTTTGGGAATCCGTTCGGAAATCTCACCGAGCAGCGCGGCCACCGCGTGTCCGAGAGGGGTGGCGAACTTCTTCTTGAAAACCCTCTGGGTGGCGTTTATATCTGCTACGCTACAAGCGGAGGGGGGGGCGGGGGGAGGAACGGGGGGCACGCGCTCGCTTGCTTGCTCTTTCCCTACCCGCTCTGCCGTAAGATTCATGACGGACGGACCGTTGTTTTTTTTTGGTTTCTACCCTTTTCCTTTTTTGCAGATTTCAGAGCTGGAATTTAGCCACCTCAAGTTCGAAGCCAAATGAGACGTGATGGAGCTGGTGGGTGGGTGGCGGGGTGGCGGGGGGCTTACTGATCGTTTGGCTGTTTCGTTCTCGCCGCTGCTCGTCCACTCTGCCGTGCACAAGAGTTATTGGTATTCTTGGGTCTTTCGGTAAAGTCACGGAGAAAGGTTCAAAGTAAATAATAATAAAAAATAGCAGAAAACTACGAAGTTTAGATCGCAACTTTACCGAAACACCCAAGAATATGAATTCCTGCAGTCACGAAAGCTTTAGGTCAACATTTCATAGCTATTGATTTCCTACAAAGCGGTCCTCATTGTATCGACCATGGAGGGATAATGATGATGGTTATGGGCTAAAGTAAACCCCCCCGACGGCCAGGATTAAAAACTCACATCCTACCAACCGCGAGCCGCTCACTCTACCACTGAGCCCCCGTTTGTAAATCCATTACATACAACATCTATGTTTTTTTTTTTAAATCGACTCTAAATGCGTGTATCACCTTCTTCATGAACCGACATTGATTCTTGGAATCGGTGCATCGTAACACCCGATTGTCTTGGCTGACGCTCGTAAGCGGGTCGTGAGCGGAAATTCCACATTCCTATGGCTGTCTCAGTCACTCACAGAACGATCTGAGATAAAGGAATTGGCAGTGCACTTTTTTGTTTTACCATCACCTTCATCATGCCGGACGGCCCAGCAAGAATATAATTTTCTTCTTTTCCCCTCTCTCGGTGATAATGTTCGGTAATAGTGGCTCGTAACACTTATCAAACTAATTGAAGCAATTAATGGATTCATTACCTCCAAAGGTCTTAACTCGTCAGTCTTCAGACTGTGACCGTCTGTCCCTGCCGCACAATGCACACGCACACAATGACAAAGATCCCCCATATCGCCTGAATAGGCTGTTGGGGCAAGTGCTGTTAGCAAGTAGCACCTATGACAGCGGACACGGAACACGAGGGGGTGGATGGCCGGCACCACGCCCGGCCGCCTTTGTCTCCCCAGTGGCGATATTTACATGTCACACTCGTTTGAGGCCCAGGACCGGTTCAAGTAATCGTCACTGGTGTTGGCCACGAGCGGGAATCGAACTCGTGTCGCCAGGTATGAAGTGCGGTGCGCTGACTCTTACACTTCCGCTCCCCACATCACTCACACCGACACAAAGACAAAAATCCCCCGTGTAGCCTTAGCAGACCGTAGGGGCAAGTGCTGTCAGCGAGCGCCTATGAAGGCCGGCACGGAACACGAGGGGGTGGGTGGCCAGCACCACGCCCGGCCGCCTTTGTCTCCCGAGTGGGGATGTTCACCCATCGCACTCATTTGAGGCTGAGTCAACCTAGGGGAGGAGGCCCAGGACCAGTTCAGATAATCGTTACTGGTGTTGACCCTGAGCAGGAATCGATATTTGGGTCACCAGGTTTCGTAGCCCAGCGCGCTAACATCGCTCACACCCACACACAAAAAGACAAAGATCCCCTGTATAGCCTTATCAGACTGTAGGGACAAGTGCTGTTAGCGAGCAACTATAAAGGCCGGCACGGCACACGAGGGGGTGGGTGGCCAGCACCACGCCCAGCCGCCTTTGTCTCCCCAGTGGCGATGTTTTCACATCACACCGGGTACTTATTTGAGGCTGAGTCGACCTAGCGGAGGCCCAGGTACCGGTTCAGATAATCGTCACCGGTGTTGGCCGTGAGCGGGAATCGAACCCGGGTCGCCAGGTTCGTAGCGCAGCGCGCTAACCGCTACACCACCGCTCCCCACCGACACACACACACACACTCAGACACACACTCGCTCACACACTCGCTCAGACACACCCGCACGCAAGCACGCACGCACGTCGCACCCCAATCTACAGCCGCTTATTTTTGTCAGAAGGTAAATTGCTCCGAGTGCAAAAGGTGTGGCTGTGCATTCACGAGATTGGTGAGCGTTTAATGTGTTTTGACGGAGCCTCGCTATGTCGCGGAGAAGATGACAATGTTCCACGCGAACCCTTCCACCGAGACACGGCGGGTTTTCGGCGCACGGTGGGATTTTACGAACGGCGATGGGGCACAGGTGACTGATTATATTGCAATCCTTATTGTATTTTGAAAAACTAAGTAATGTTTTATTTTATATATATCAGTGTCATCAGCAAACTGCAAAGGCAAGCCTCGGTAATGCGACTGTGGCCGTGCAATCCAAACCATGGAGTCTGAGCTCCTTCAAGGGAGGAGGCGCATTAAAGCCACGAGAGTTTTCTCTCCTGAAGCCCTCTCGTCGCAGCCAGCAGACCTCGACATTGGCACTTAGCTCCTGAACACACTGCCATCATGAGCAAGCATAGAATATGAATGGATTACAATGCGATACATAAATCACATTTTTCACATGCAATACAATTGCAATTTGGATATAGTTGTCGAATTGGGACCGCTTCATTTCAAGACAGAGGAAATATTCATTTGTATATTGAGGAGAGAGGCAATCAGTCATCGTGTCTCCATGTGAGTCTGTTTGAGTCCACGGGTCTCCTCCGTGCGAGCCTACACAACACAATTACAACGTGGATTTATGTAGCGTCCAAACGCGACTGAATCTCAAGACACCGTGCGGACACAGCGGGGATATTTATTTCACAGAGGGGGGCGGTCAGTCATAGGCCTCTGTGAGGCTATGGGTCTCTGTGCGAGTCTGTACTTTACAATACAAAATGGATTTATGTGCTGTTTAAATGGGCACTGCATCTCTCGACGCTGGACAGAAATCGAGAGGAAGAGAGAGAGAGTGGCGCTCAGTCGGCCACAGGCATTGCCGCGCTCATAACAACACAGAAAGTTCTCGCCACAAATGACCCACAGTACTTCGCTGATCTGGTCAAGGAGCATAAACCATCAGCAAGCGAACTCCGGAAAACATTCTCGCAGAAGCGGCTTTTGGTTAGCCGCCGTCGACCAAAGACGGCCACCGCATCGCTCGTTTTTAGATGCGCCTCTGCGGCCGTCTGGAACGTTCCTCGTTCCGATATTAGGAAGTGCACTTTAAATCATCTAGATTGAAAACTCGTTTCTTTAGAACTGCTTTTTGTGTTTAGTCCGTTGCCCTTATCCCCGCACGTCATATGAGCACAGTTGGTTACGTACGGTACGAAAGAAGTTCTACATGCATCGGAGATAAAGGCAAGGCCTTGAGTCGAAAGCACGGATGGGGAGGGGGGGCAGTTCCAAACTAAGGGGGCAGCAGAGGAGAATGAGTGACCTCCCACTGGTTAGAGTGCCCAGCGGGCAATCAGAAAGTCGCGAGTTCAAATCCCAGTCTGGGTTCTGACTCGACACATCATCCTTTCAGGGTCCACAAAACATCTACCACTTTGTGGAAATTCAACAGTGGCTGTCATACGGGTGGATCTGTCACCACCCTGCGGGCGTCACGGTGGCGAGATGTTGACAACCTCGCCTGGACTACAGGAGGTCGTGGGTTCGATCCCAACCCTGACGCCTGCTGGTCGCGTGGATTTTTCTCCGGGCCCTCCGGTTTTTACCTCCACATTTAGAGTCAACATCACGCGTTTAGATTATTTGGCTGCTCTAATTTTCCACAGGATGATGAGCCACTTGGTCGAGCTGTCATTCGTGATAGCTAGGTCGCCTTCTGAAAGAGAGCTGCTGTATCGCTCAGCGGGGTCAAATAATAAAACAATTGCTCGTAGTTTATTTTTTATTTTTAAACATGGAATTTCCAACGCTGCCCGAGGACCACAAACACTCTCGCATTCGAGCGGGAAGCCACCTTGACTTCATTCGGGGCGACTTACTGCTTGGTCGACGCGGCGGCGGTGGAGGACCACACGAGTCGGCGAGTGGGCAGGTGGTGCAGCCGGAGCGTCGCGCCGGCACCGCTCGCCAGCCACTCTCCGGCACAGCTCACGGCCGACACCGCCGCCCCCGCCGCCCGGGGCTGCCGGAGCGCCGGCGGTGCTGCCCGACGTGACGCGTCGCTGCCCGTTGCGCCGCCGTCCGGTGAGGCTCTGCCGGCGACGGTGGCGGCGGTGGCGCTGGTGGAGGCACCGGCATGAAACGTGTGCAGGCAATGCCCCGTGTCACTGCTCCACATGCGCACCGTCTGCCGGTGAGAAGCAACGGAAAGTTGTTTTTTTTGCCGTGGCCGCAACTCTGCTCATGTGCCAGTGATGATGATGATGAATCCTCCCCACGCACCGTCACGATCATCACCCTTCGTCTCTTGGAGCTCACGTCAAGCCACGCACGTGTCGAGCCATCGTGCGTGGAACACATTCGCCTGCTGGAGCAGCACCGGCGGCACTTATATGAGACAGCACGGCAAGTAGGTTTGGTGGCGAACCGTCTGAATGTCAGCATCTCCCCCCCCCCCTCCACACCCACGGGCCAAGTGGCGGTGGGGAGGTGAAAATGCCTTTTGTTAGTTTTGGGCGTCGCGTGTTGATCTCGTCAGGGAGCATAAACCATCACGCGAACTCCGGACATCCTCATCAGTGGCGGCTTTTGGCTAACCATCGAACTAAGATAGTCTTTCAGATGCACTTACGCTGCCGTCTGGAACGCTCTTCCTTCCGATATCAGGAAGCCACTGGAACGATGCACTTATAAATCTAGATGGAAAACGAATTTCCTTGGAACTGCCTGTTCGTGTTGTCGTCCTTCCACCGCACCTCCAATTAGCACGGTTGGCTACGTACGGTTCGAAAGAAGTTCAACGCACACGCGCATTGTGCAACGGTTGTTCCGACATTGCCTTGTATTCCTTTTAGGGCAGCGTTTGTTGTTTTCGTTTAATTGCGCCCGTCCACTGCGGTATCACAAAAGACACGTCCGCTTTCCCCACCACTTCTGCCATCCTGGCAAGCGCCAATCTGCTGTCTCGGCAGGTGACGCACCCCAATCTCCTTGAGATCTACCAACCCCCACCGGTTTTTTCCAATCCGCAGCACTTCGGCGGTGGCCGCTTCCACTCCACCCCCCCACCCCACCCCACACCCACCTCCCTCCCACTCACCGTGCCCAACCCCGTTATCTGTAAATAAAGAAACGCATCTGCTCGCCTTCAAAGATAATCCGGGGATGCGCAATTACCTTGCAGGCGGAGCAATTATTTGCGTCCTGCCGCTGCGACGCGGGACAATTTGGCTGTCGCCCCGGTGCACGTGGTGTCGCGCTGAAACGCTGAGCGCACTTTGCCTCGCATCGCGCGCTGATTTGTCAAAAACAAAAAAAACCTCGAGGGATGGCGACGGCACAAAAAAAAATCATTACGATTTACGATGATTGCGAAATATTACGTGAGATATCGGATGCGATTTACAAAGCCGGTCTGTTTATAAAACGACGAAAAATTCTGACTTTTTCCTTTTGTCCGTTTTGCTCAGTTCGACGAAGCCACCCATTATTTGCAACGGTTGAATTACTGGGCGCAATTATTCAACGCCCCTCTCACCGCCCGGGGCCCCACGCAGCGGTATCGTGATGACCTCGCCGCTGTCGGGCGATCGGCCCGGTCGCGTGCGGTGCAGCCAAAAGCGTTGGTAGCTACTCCCGCCGGCTCGGCGTGGAGGAGTGAATCGGCCACCAACAATACCCGCCCCAGGGAAAGTGGCCACCGGGGGGGGGTGGGAGGTTGGTTGTCTCTTTGAGCTTCTCATAGTGGGAATTCCTCCCACCGACTGCGCAATGAGCCAGGAATTGCAGGGCTGCTCCTTTATCCGTACCCGAAGCCACCCAAATGTAATTGCCATTTAAAAGAAAAACAAATAGCCGTAGCTTAGATTTGTTTCAAGGCACGTTGCTTTGCCGCGCGTTTAAAAAAAAAAATCTAAACACATCTTTTTACCGGTCGCATCTTTGTCGAAAGCGTTTGATGCCACCGTGCAAGTCGGCGGTCGAGGCATCGTGGTAATTATCGCTCGCGCTGCGTTGCGGCTATTCCTGCACTTCCACGCGACCGAAGAGAGGAACAAAGCACGCCTGCATCTCCCCCCTCAGCCCCCCGCTGCCCTGCCCACCCCTTTGTTAGTTTCCATTCCAGCAAGGCCAGCCCCAAATGTTTAGTCGCGTTGCATTGTTGCGCGAGATATCGGCTGTGCCCTTCGTGCCTAACCCAGCAACAGCGAAGCCAAGACAACAACAATAACAACAACAATAACAATGATGACAATAATGTTCCCGCGGCCCACAAGACGGTACAATGAGGCGCACGTGACGACAGAGCGTCAACACGCCCGTCAGTGGCATGGCCCTAAAGAGGAAAATAAATTACAGGTGAAGTTGTGGGCAATGCCCCTTTCTTCATAGCAGAGAGATCAAATGTCTGTGTCACTCGCCACCATCCGGTTTTTTTGTTTTCTGGTCGTCAAATTAATTTGAAATGACAGTCAATGACACCCTGACCGGCGAGATGTCCCCACTATGAAGAAGGGCCATTGCGCCGCCCATTATTTAAACCCACACATTTTCCTGCTGTCGGGCAGCGATATCGACGGATGTGTCGAGTGTTTTTGATCCGTCGTTGCGTGTGCCTGTGCACCGCTGCCCAAACGCATCGGAGTTTATCAGCACGGCTCAACGGGGTGGGGCAGCTCACAAACGGCAGGGGAAGTCACGACGCCCGTGACGGCTCGTACGCTCCCCGCGTGACCCGCACGGCAGCACGTGACAACGCTCCCAGCCCTGTCTCAGCGACAATGCCACAACGCATTTTCACCAGAATATATTTATTCTTCTTATTACGGTGACTCAATGGCGTTCCGTTGTCTCGGCCAGACAGGACGAGGATCTTGAGATTCCCAGAAATCAGCCGGGGGGGGGGGGGGGGGTGGTGAGGAGGTAGAGGCGGCCTCCCTCTCTAAGAGCGATGCGGCAAAGCGTCAGCGCGCTGCCACGAACCAACCGAGTCCGCGATGTGACGGGGGCCGTGGCCGACTCCCAGAGGCCACCCCAGCGGTGGCAGCAGCAGCGGCGGCTGCGACGGCGATTATAGCGTCTCAACCGCCTTGCGGGAATTATCAAAGTTTCCCCTGTCTGCCTGCCCGTTCGCTCGCCCGATACCGCTCACCCATTTGCTCGCCCGCTCGCTTTGCCGTTTGCTCGCCCGCTCGCTCGCTCAGCGCAGAAGTAGGACATCGTTGGCCGTGTGGGGGGTGGTGGAGGGTGGGGGTTAGTGGGGGAGGGATGAGGTCACGGCCAAATTAACCCTCCCAGCGGCACACGGCGACCCCCGGCAAGACGAGCAGAGCCGTCCGTGCAAACGAGCGGCGCTCCGCTCATTATCCCAGGACCGTGCCAAGATTTTTCACACATATATTTATTTTTTTACTTCCAAATAAATAAATAACGCTGATAACAAACGCGCCGAGGGAGATGCACGGCCGTGATGGAGCGTAAGATGCCCACCGCTGGCCGTTTGTTCTGCTTCAGCCGCGAGCGGCAGGGGCCCCCTGGTACGCGTGTGCCGGGCAAAGAGCTTCATAGCTCATCGGATTTCTCCAGGACAAATGAAGATTCTGATTCCACACTGGGTGGAAGTGCACGCGCACGCATATGGGTGCCCACGCGCGCTGCGCTACGAACCCGACGACCCGAGTTCGATTCCCGCTCACGGCCAACAAGCAGAGCCGTCCGTTGGGTATGGTGAATTGGCACGACTGCCCCGGGCCCCGTGCTTTGGGGGGAAGGGGGGTCTGCACTTCGATGTCACGGTGTTCAGTGTAATACATCTGGTTTAAAACTAAACGAGTTTTATTTTACCAGGTATGGCCCATTGAGCGACACATCTCTTTTTCAGAAGTGACCTGGCTATCAGAAATGGCAGCTGAACGAGGGGGCTCATCGCTTAGAAATTGATAGCAGCCAAATATTCTAAACGCGTGACGTTGATTCTAAACGTGGAGGGAAAAACCGGAGAACCCGGAGAAAAATCCACGCGACCACGGGGAGAGAAAACGTGCAAACTCCAAACATAGAGCAATCGTCAGGGCCAGCATCGATCCCACGACCTGCTGTATACCAGGCGAGGTAGCTAACATCTCGCCACTGCGGCGCGCTTAGTTTGACGGTGTCTGGGGGGTGGGGTAGGGGTGACACACAGTGCCAGGATTATCCTAGTAGCAAAAGTAGCTACATATGTAGTAGCTACGGGCCCCGCACTTTCAAGGGCCCCGCGCTAAATGCTTTCACGCTATCAATTCCGGTTCAGTGATTCTGCACTTGCTCTATTACTATAGTACTATACCGCCTTCAACTTTTACGAACGACTGGGTGTTTAAGGGTAGCGATTTGTCGCATTGTCTGGCTGTATAGCAAATGCTAAAATACAATAACTTTACTGTGCAAGTTGAAAATTTGTGTTTTAATATGTACGTGTTTATTTTTCATTTAGGGCTCTTTCCTAACATCATGCTACAAGGCCCCGCACGAGCTTAATCCGGCACTGGGACCACGTGGTGTGATTTGCCCCCCCCCCCCCTCTCTCCCCCTTCCCATGGCACTATTGAGAACCGCCGCCGTCATCATGCCGCGCAGCCGAGGTCCAAACTGATCACTCACACCAAGTGCCACTTCGTAGAGAGGGGAGGCGGGGCGGGGGAAGACATTAGATAGGGAGGGGGGGGTGGAAATGAGACCGGGGGGGGTGTGGGGGTGGGGCGCAAGAGGGGGGGGGGTCACGGCGTTGTGTGTGTGTGGGGGGGGGTTCTACATTTTTCATGCTCATTAATGTCCTCGCGGTAGCCGTGCCCGCGGCCTCCGTCCAGGCATTTTGCGTTAATGTGTCTCTCTTTAGAGGTCCCCCAATGCCGATAATTGATAGCTGGGAGCACGGCGGGTGACATAAATCCAGTTTCCATGGCCTCCCACGGGCAGCTCTTGCAACCCACCCACTCTCCTCCTCCCCAGTGGGCGCGGGCGGGTTACCGGAGGTGTGAACAAGGTGCATGCGCGTGTGTGTGTGTGTGTCTTGTATGCGAGTGTACGTGTGTATGTGTGTGTAGCGGTTAGCGCGCTGCGCTATGAACCCGGCGACCCGAGTTCGATTCCCGCTCACGGCCAACACCAGTGACGATTATCTGAACCGGTCCCGGGCCTCCCCTAGGT